TACTAATTTATATACAAAATATTTTATCCTTTAATTCCATGAACTACGTTAAGATATAAGCCTACAAAAAAGAGCGATCACGTGTCCACAGTCTCTCCTACTGAGACATTTTTATTATAAATTTATGTAGTAAGAAAGGTTTTGAAAAATATACGCTTAAAAACTATTAAGTACCTAGGTAATTTAAATTTACAGATGCCTTTCAGCATGTTTTAATTTATTTATAACAATTTTATATTTATTGTACCAGATTGTGTATGTAAAAAAATTAAATTAATAACTTGGATCCACTAATTATAAAACTCTTTACAATTTTCTTGCTGCAAAAATAAAAATGCTTGTTTTTTGGTCTCTCAATTTGTCTTCCCAAGAGAAAGAATAATACATTAAGCATTCTGGTATATTACGTTTTCTGTAAATATATAGCAAAATTTGTTTTTAAAATATGCAGATTTTCTACAGGAAAATATCGTATATGAAAATGTTTGTTTTTAAATTTAACAGACTTATGTTCAACTTTTGTCTCCTAGGTAGATTAAAATTGGGTTGGAATTTCCAAAGTAAATAACTTACCTTTGTTTCAACTATTGTCTTCAAAAAAATGTCTTCATTTTTCGGAGTACCTACTTTCGACAATTTTTCCTGAGGAGAATAACTGGATGCAAATGAATCAGGATAGTAGCTACTTTCTGTAGCATCACTAAAAATGCTACTTGATGTGTCGGTTTTATTATTATTATCTATAAAAGCTGGACTCTTTATATTTGGAGAATAGTCTGTTTTAGTTCTAAATTTTGCTTTTAATATCTGAGTATTGTCACCTTGAAAAAGATCAATAGGTATTTCGCTTGATCTTTCTAAACGTTTTGTAATTGGTATATTTTGTAGAACTTTGATTTTAGGCATATTTAAATTATTATTTTGCAAACTAAAGTTTTGATATTCGCCTAATATTTGTTTTTCAGAGCAAAATTCTTCACTTTCACATAACTGTAAAGGGATTTGTACACTAAGGCTCTGTTCTTGACCTTCTTTAGAATTCGCATTATTGGTTTTTTGACCAGGAGCTCCCAATTGAACATTTTTTAGATAATGATACACTTTGGTTTCCTGATCTTCGATTGGTAATTTATTTAATATCTAGAAATAAAAAGTTTTATTTTTTAAATAAAAACGTTAGTACTTGCACACTAATATCAGTTCATATTTTCATAAATATAAAATTAACGGAACTAATATTTTCATTAAAAATCAGGAGTATGCAAAATTTTTTGGAGTTTACTCTTTAAGAATTAATTGTCATATAAGGCCCCCTTTATGGAAATTTTTTGAAGAGTGAAATTTATAAACGCGTTATGCTTTTCTGCGTGACGTATCTTGGGAAGCGTTCACAGTTGTGAATACATTTCGATTTTAAAATTTTATTTTTCCTTCGTTTACATTTATTATATCTAATTAATTATTAATACTACTTATAATAAATATCCATAGCTATAAGTGTTTTACAGAAACGTTGCAAATGAAAACCTAGCTGAAGTGAAGACGCGTTTCGACAGGGTTGAAAATTTGTTTTCGGAAATTAAATATTAATAGTTATAAGTTTTTATTTTCATTTGAATCCATATTATTATTTAATAGATTTTTCATTTGTCAAAGAAATATCAAAAAACATCATCATTAACATAGGTTTCTTAAAACACGTCAATGTCTAGGCTCAATAATGTAGAGTACTAGATTGCAATTTTTTATTTTAGCTTAGTACAATGCATTAAATGTGAAATATTTACTAGCAAATAAAAAAATTAAAAAGAAAGTGTTTTTAATAATTCATTAACCAGTTAATGAATATAAAATACAAAAATATCTTTAGTCATTTGTTAGGCGTTCTTAATTTCTTTGCACCTTGTTTTATAAAGTTCTTATTTTCCACTCACATTAATAAATTTTATATTCGTATTGCATTTTAAATATACTAACAAAAAAAACGTTTCAATTCAAAAAGAAAATTCTTTATTAAAATATTACGAAAATTCAAGATGATATTAATAGTGACCAAAATTAATGAAACATTATATTATGTATTTTATTTAGATAATGCCAGCAAAACCCTAAAATATGAATAGGACTATATCTTTAACTATTATATAAAATGCCTTTATTTACATTATTTGCATATTAAACATATTTTTAAATATCAATATAATAGTTCTTAGGGATAAATTTCAGATGTTTTTCCCAGTATGACAGCATAAATAGACAATTTTTCTTTTACTGGTTTTTGAATGGAGCCGGAAAAGTATATTTATAAAAACATAAACATTTATCACTCCAAGTTTCACTGCTGTGTATTTAATACACAAATCAATATGTTCAAGCGGTTGAAATTTGAGCTTGTTGGTTAAAATAAACTAAAAATACCTATTGAAATTTAATATTTAAAAAATTTTAACGAACGACTTGACCTTAAACTTGATTTATATTTGAGAAATAAACTGCGAAATAGCGGGAATTTCCGTTTATAGTAACTAAACCTAAAATTGCTGTTCTTTGCGTTCCTTAAATAAATATTGTAGTTAATATTATTAACTATATTTTTATTAAAAAGTACGTTTACAGAAATAAGCCCCTATAAATGTGTTAATAAAACGATTGTATATACCGTAATTATTAATCTATATTAATTGCAATTGATGGCAACTTGTATGCCCGCCATTTGGAGTAAACAAATCCTTTCAGATGTTTTATATAAATTTTAATATTTTATGAACAACTGTCGGTTAAGAAATCAAAACGTCAATACAAACATATAATTTTAATTCGAATTATTGTGGCTTAAACCCATAAACATATTTTTTAATGTAAACGTGCTCCAAGTCAAAAGTTTTAGAAATAAGCCTTTATTTATGTATGTTATATTTAAGCGGGTTCTAATAATTTGTTTTTAGTGGTGTCAAAAAATAATATCGCTTACCTCAGTCGTCAAAGAGCCTGTATTATTTTCATCTTCTGAATTATGAAATTCATATACATCTGTAAAACACTAATATTAGTAAATTATATCACTTATATTATAATATCACCTACCCTTTAAATTATTTTGAGCTAGTTGAACTAACATTTTACTACGTTGGCTCATTTTGGAAAACATATAACGAACTTTAACTTCCGCTAATAACTAACAAGTAAAAGTAAACCACAAAACGCACATTACCAATCATTTTAGCGCCAAAAAATTTGGCAACATTGCGGGGACTGGGTCCGTCCAGTGAATGATACTTTTTCATATATAAGGGTCTGGGAAAACGGTTAAGTTTGTTGGGTCTGGTAAAGATTGTTTAATATCTTAATTTTTTTTTTATTTAATTTTTTTACCCCTCTCAAGTTCCCTTGAATTAATACAATAAAACCACCTAAAAAATACAATATATACTTCTTTTAACATTATATTTCAACTGGGTCTTAGGTGGTCTGTTAAGTATCTTGGGACTGGTAGAGATAGTTGAATCAATATATATATATATATATATATATATATATATATATATATATATATATATGCGAGGTTCCTACAGCCTCTGACGCATCTTGCATTTCGACCGCCATCGTTTTCTGTCCATCCATTCGTCTTCTTTGATGGCTATATCTCTCATTATATGTCGTACATTTTCTTCCCAGGCAACTCAAGGCCTTCCCTTTCTTCTTCTTTGTTGTGGTATGTAATTTAAAGCTTTCTTTGGCCATCTATCTTCATTCATTCGCTTCACGTGACCATACCACACTAGTTGTCTCGTTTTAATTCTGTCTACGCTGGAATTTACAGTATTTGTCCTCCTTCTAATATCTTCATTTCTGATATGATCTTTTTTGGATACGCCACACGCTCTCCTTAGAAAATCCATTTCTACTACTTCTATTCTTTGTCTATCTTTTTTCGTGATCTTCTGCCCCATAAGTCATAATAGGCTCTACCAAGGTTCGATGGATTGTCAGTTTCGTTTCTTGTTTAATATCTTTAGACTATAGTAGAGAGTTTAGAATGTTAACCGCTTTTTTTCCCTGCTGCGTTTTGTTTTCGATATCTCTTTTGATAGTGCCTTCTTTAGATATTATAAATCCGAGATATTTATATTCCTTGCATGTTTTTATGTTTCTAATTTCTAACTCTGGATCTTCTTCATCATTTCCTATTTTAAGATACCCTGTCTTTGACATGTTCAGATTGAGGCCCCATTTTTCATATTCTTTCTTTAGTTTTCTAAACATGTAGTCCATGTCTCCCTTATCATTCGCTACGACTACCTGATCATCTGCGAAAAATAAAGTTGTTAGACATTTACCATCGCCTATGTCTATTCCTATTTCGGATACTTGTTTCCTCTACTGCTCTAGCGATGATTGAATATATATTTTAAATAAGGTCGGAGATAGACAACCTCCTTGTTTACTCCCCTTTGTTATTGGAAATGATTCAGATAATGATTCAGATATAAAGTTTCCTTCTTTAACAACACTTCTTGCATTTTTGTATATATTTGCGATAGCATCCACATACTCTCTACTGAGACCTACTTTCGTCAATGTTTGAAACAGTTTTTTCATAGGTACCGTAACGTATGCCTTCTCTAAATCTACAAACAATAGGTGGGTAGATAGAAGTTATCGTTTTTTTTTTAAGTAAATATCTGGTATGAATTTAACAGGTTTGTCAGAGGTAAACAACGCAACGTACCTATGATTTGTTAATACGTTAGTATTAATGTAGTGGCGTTATTAGCAAACATAATAATTTATTGAATTATTTTATTATAATATAATTTGTTTAAAATATAAATATTAAGAATACAGAAAACATAGTAAGTATCAAGCTTCGCGCTAGTCTACTCTTCCGCCTACTGTAGCATTTTTTTCTTATATACTGACTGCTAGTCCTGTTTCTAAGAGTTTTGTTTTTGAACGTATTTGAATATTGTCTGCTATTTATTAATATTCTCTCTTTTTAGCTGACGTACGTGCTACAGCAGATCTTATGGGAGTAGTTTTTGAAAAAGACGCCCAAAATCATCTAAGATTTGATAAATTTGATCTTGACATTAAGGTAGGAGGAGGAATGGCTAGAGTAGAAAATTTGTTTAATGGAGATAAAGTGTTGCGTAAGTATAAATTTAATTTATTAAATTTATTATTTGTTATAACAAAAAATATTTTGGAAATATATAACCAATTATACTTAATACTTAGAACCTAATATAAATTTGTAAGATAGAGGTACTCTATTTAGAGGTAGAGAGATATTTACCAGATGCACCAGGATGTCTTTCCTGATTATGAGAAATAAAAAAGTCTGTGTTGACATTAGTGTCCGCGCACGATCAGGACTTTAGTATAATTATTAAATGTATACAACAAAAACTATCCTTATTGATCACAAATATTGGATACCAAGGTCCGTTAGGGTATTAAATTTTATTAAGGCTACACAGCCTTTCATTTCGTAAACATGCAAAATTCTGGATATTAGGGCGATATCCCTTCGCTGATATAAGGAGGGTACAATAAAGCATCCCCATTTGAAATTCTTAGTTTTCTGGAATTCTTTTGTTGTCTTGGTTTATTCCCATTAGCATGTTATCAGTTTTATTTTGATTATTCGAATCTGATCTATCTCAATAGCTTTAATTAATTGATTGCTTACATGCCTATTTTTCATTGCTTTCTATAGTTTGATGTTTGTGATGAATGTTAATACATTTGTTAATATGCCTTTTATCATTCTTAATAAATTGTTCCGATCCATTGATAAGTTCTGTTGTAGTATAACATAGTTCCCATGCTTTTATTAAATAGATTTCTTCTGTCCACTATACTTAATTTCTTCTTTGAATGGTGCTTTGATTGTAATGAGGGATCCAAAATACATAAATTTCTTGACCACTTGAAATTATCGAGCCTGCAATTCAGCGTAAGGGCATATTTTCTGCTCATCATGTCAAGTTGGCTGATTATTTGAACCAGTTCCTCTTCTGAGAAGGCTAACATTAGGATATTGTCTGTGTTAGAGCTTGTAATATATCGTTATTCGGCCCTAACATAATAACAAAAACTAACTAAACGAAAATAATTATTTTACATCCCATTATTGCGTGTTAAAGGATTCACTGACTACTAAATTGCGCGTAGTGTTTGACGGAAGGGCAACTTCCAGGTCCACTTTCGAATACTCTTTTAACGATATACTGCTTATTGGTTATTAAGTACAGCCAAATCTCTTTGATATCCTATATTGATTTCGAAAATATAAATTTATTCGACAATAAAAAGATGTATCGGCAAATCAAATTTAACACCAATCAAACTCTCTTACAAAATATTCTTTGGAGAAATAGCCTCAATGAACCCTTGAAGTGTATTGAATTAACTTCTGTAACTTATGAAGTAACGTGCTCTAGATTCCAAGTGACTAGCTGCCTAAAAGAAATAGCTACTTTCTATGCTACGAAATATCGCTTTGTTTCTAATGCACTTTTAAATCAGACGTATGTCGTTAATACTCTATATAGAATCAGTAGCCTAGGTGAATTAGAATTTGCTTATTATGAGTTAAATGTTATCTTAAATTGTCACTGAATGAATCTCTACAAATGGGTTTCCAATTCATCAGAATTCTCAACCAAATATATACACTCATCTCAATTAAATTATTTAATATCTTCAACTAAACCAAATAGCAAGTTTTAGATCTCTCTTGGTACCCCTAGAAGATTACTTTAGCATTTTCATTCCAATTTCCCCGATTACTAAAAATATTTACACGAGAAGGAATGCTCTCTCATCACTCGCCAAAATATTTAATCCCATAGGGCTCTTGGGCTCATTCACTGTCATTGGAAAGGTCTTTATTCAGAAACTATGACAATAATAATTTAAATTGGGATGATCCACTCCCTAAATTCCTTAGTATTGAATAAATTCATACTCACTAATACTTCTTCTTCTTCTTAACGTGCCCTATCAAGTCCCCCTTGACGTTGGCGATTAACATGGCGAAACTGTCTGTCTCGAGCTATTCTAAAGAGTTGCTCAGCTTTCTTTATTCCTGTCCACTCTCCGATATTCTTCAACCAAGAGGCCTGCTTTCTACCAGTTCCTCTGTGTCCTTCGATTTTACCCATTATAATAAGTTGAAGAATATTATATCGGTCTCCCCTTACTACGTATCCAAAATAGGCCATCTTTCTACATTTGATGTTATCAAGCAGCTCGCGAGCAGCATTTGCTCTCTCAAGGACTGTCATATTTGTCAGCATAACATCACTAATACTGCTTACCAATATCATCATGCTGAAATCTCTTAGAGTACCATGCAATCTCCTTGACAAGAAATAAATCTCAAAAATAGAAATATACGAATTCTTCAACGCCTCATGCTGCTTTATATTTTCTTACCATTTACACTCATTTACACTCATGATCAGCAACACTTTAATCGCATTAAAATCTTATCTAGCGCCTTTGAAGTCTGTTTCAATTCCTCGATTGAAGCTTTCAGCCATGTTATTTACAATTCTTTCAGTTGCACTTGAATCACATCCAAATCTTGTCTAGTGCCTTTGAAGTCTGTTGCAATTCGTATATTGGAGCTTTCATCCAAATTGACTCAAAAAATGAATTCCGCTTTTATAAATCAGATCCACTTCTCCTCCGTTAATTTGTATACAAATTATACCTATATCCCAAATCTAGTAACCCAAATTCAGGACCTGACTTAACATTTCTCATGGAGACACTTTCGTTCTCAGGAAAATGCAGCAGATTGCTTATCTCGTGATGTGATCGTTACGGAATTTCTAAATTCTTGTATATGGTAAAAGGGCCCCGAATTTTTGCTTAAGTAGGATCTAAAACTGACGGAATTTAGGTGCACAAATCACAACGGAAAATGATTTCTTTAATAATCTCTTCTCCAAGTTCTCTTCTTACTTTAAATTATTACGCACTACTATCTCAGCAGATTACCTTTTAATACAAGACACTTTCATAAAAAAAATCCGGATGAATGGCTATTCGCCTCAATATCAATACTTACAGTAACTCAATCACTAAAATTCTCCAAAGAAATGGTGCACGCCACAATTTCACTCGGAATTTTAATTACTCCTTCTCGCCCCTTTCAAAACGTGGGCTGAGATTTCAATGGCCCATTTTTTAATTAATCTTCGCTACGAAGCTGGAGATAAAATTAGTATTTAGACAATAGGACAAACATGAAGAATGTCCTAAAATGAGATAGAGAGTATAGCATAGATTGCTGGTTAAAAAAATATGAGAGCTCTTACCTGTAATATAAGAATGTCCTAACACTAACGGTTCAAAAAGCTATCCAAAGGTACAAAACGATTTATTATAGAGAAAAAGAGAGAAAAACAAATAGCATAAATAAAATTAGTACAAATACATAGAGAACTAAACAAAAATCCTATTACTACATACTACTTACTAGCCAACAAGTCTTTCGAAAGTGTATGTGCACTATTGTCTATCCAAGTCGTTATCACAAAGATCCTGGATCAAAAGCTGCGGAGATGTGGTAACCATTTGTCAAAGGCCACCCAGAGAACCATGCAAAAACTTCGAACACTTCGAAAAAAGACCACTACTGTATTATAATCAATAAGTATCTGTGATTATAATGATTTATTGCTGTTATACCAACAGCGGGACAAATCGTTGACCGATTTGGAGAGCATTTAACTACTACTACTTTTTGAGGATCAAATCCTTGACGGATTCGTAAGAACTTCTGTCCAGCAGAGATGTTGCACCGTGCGGGACTAAAATTCACTCTGAGATTAGGCGGGGTGCCTGATTTTTCGGGGGGTCTTCTTTTAAAGCGCACCAAAAAACTATCTACTAAAAAACTATTGACACCCTTTTTGACAGATGTTTGACAATGACATTTTACAGAATTATATCATTTTTTTTAGAGTGACTTTGTCAAAAGTGGAGTTGAATACTAAATTAAAAATATTAATGAATAGTTTTATATGTTCGAATGGATTTATTCGAACAAAAGCTACTAATGACTCCAATACAAAAATGTAGCCATAAAGGCTGTACACTTCACACCGACCCTCTACCAAGTCTTTTTTACTTTATCTAAAAAGATTCATTGCTTTACGACATCTTCCTTTGTCTAAAAATAGTCAATACCAGACGATGTCTTCCTTCTCTCATATACACCAACAATTCGACGAATTTCACTGGCTTAAAAAATGAGCTCATAGATTTACGTAAACATCTCCATCTTTTCAAAGGAGATGCAAAATTTCGCTGCAAACATTTCATATAGTGGAAATTTATTCCACCTCACATTCCACATTGGAAAGTTGTATGAGAAGCAGCAATTAAAAGTATGAAGTATTACCTTCATCGAATGGTAGGAAACGCTACTCCCGTGTTTGAAGAAGTCAGCACAATTCAATTCGCAGATCGAGGTAATCCTTAACTCACGTTATATGTTGCCTTGTCAAATGTTCTTTCTCATCTGCAATGCCTTATCCCTGGACACTTTCTTATGTGGTAAAGTACCTAAACCACCGTACCACCGTAAATTTTTACCTTTACCATGCGAGATGCGCTATGCACCATTACGCAGATGATTTTAAGATTTTGACATTTTCTCCTAAGCTAACTTGTATCTTTTACCGATTAAAAAAGACGATCAATGCTCATCATTCATCATATTATAACTAATAAAAATAACCTTGGTCCATCCTCGGTCGTTTTCTTAGGTTGTTCAAAATTTCTATAAATATTTTGAGAACGATTTCAAAACGTCAAACTTTGGTTAAAATGTGATTTTCATTACAACCAATAAATTGTGGCTAATCCCATATAAACATTATATTTAAATTAAGAGCGTAGGCGCAAAATTTCGGTCCAATGCTTTTTAAATGCATTCATTTTTTTCGAATCCTGAGAAAACTAATAATAATAATAATAATAAAACTAATTTTCTCTTATTTTTCACCCCTGTAACTTACTAAAATAAACAGTATAGAAGTTTTCCGGGACTTTCGGCCCTCAATAATAATGTAATCTTTCATTCTGCGTTTAAATTCTTCAAAAATACTTTTAGTTTTCTCAGGATTCGAAAAAAATGAATGCATTTAAAAAGCATTGGACCGAAATTTTGTGCCTACGCTAATAAAAAAGAAGTTTAATAAAGTTTAATTGTAAAAGATTTTTGCTATTTAGTAGTGGGAATAAAATGTAAAGAAACACACAAAAAAAACAGTAGAAGTACTCAATGTTTGTCAAAGAAAACAAGAAATAGACTTTTCGCCAGAGGAAAGAAAGAATTTTGGAAATTAAGATAATATATTATGAATGATATGAAGGATAAAATTTTCTTTTAAATTAAAAATTAATTGTTTAATAAGTGTTTAAATAAATTTTTTATTTATGAGATTTGCTAGTTACCATTTTAATCATAATTTCGATAAGACTACATAAATGAAAGATTATAAATGGTCAATTAAATATCTAGCTTATATCTATTTTTCAATTATCAATTATATTATATCAAATTATCCATTTAATTTAATAGTTTTAATATATTTGTTTGATGAAATTTATTATTAAGAAATTTGAATTTATATTTACCTAAATTTAGGAGAGTACATTACTTCCAACCAAGCCTTATATAAGCCTTAGTTGATATCCTTCACGTATATCATCCAATAAAAGAAGGGATTTAAAATAATAATATGCGTAATGGAGCATCGCGCAGCTAGCATGGTAAAGGTAAAAATTTAAGGTTGGATCCCTAGACCCAAGTGTATATAACTGAGCTAGATATAGTATAGGATCCCGCTATAAAACGACCTTCACCGAGCTGGTTAATGGATGAAAGATATTCTTTATCAAATAAAATAAGTCAATAAATATATTACGAATGGGTTGTCTAAAAAATTTCAGTCCAGAATATGATTAATTAACAATTAAAAAAAATTTTTTTTTTTTAATTACACCGGCTTGGTTAATGAACAAATTCCATTCCAATCGAAAATATGAAACCTATAGAATATACAAATATTAGGTTGACTATTTATTTCCCGTCGCAACCCTTGGGTAGGCAGGTATAAACAGGTAAATCGATACTAGTAACTTGCACCGGTCTGATTAATGAATGAAACTAAAATAAAAATAAAGATAATTTTATTACGAACACGGTGGTATAGGGTTGTCTGCAAAAAATCAGTCCTAAATTGCGGTTGTTGAATTTTAAAAAGTGAAATATTGCTGCGAGTGAATACGTGCGACAGCGAGGTCCCAGCAAACCATCCCAGGCGATAGAAGAGGACACAGCATTGCAGCTGTCTATAGTTTGTTGGTTGAATGAAAGAGAGCGCGCATGCTATTTGTCGGTGAATACGAAAAGGATAGCGATAGACTAGTAAATGCTACGCGTCATTTTGGAGTAGATTGTCGCTACATTTGTAATTGAAAACACGTGCTACTATTTGTTATTGTAAAAAATGGCTAAAAAGTGTTTTTTGTGTGATTCGGATGATGGTGTTATTGATTTTAATGATGAAACTTTTAAAAACTGTTCATTAAAGTTAGCTTTTACATTTAATTTTTGATCGTTACTTATCACCGTCAATTAAAGATTTCGAACGTGAAAGCCGAAAAGAATTCGATATTCCGTACAAAATTTCGGGACCTCAACAAACCAGACCTCATAATTTTTTACAAAGCCTTAAAAATTATCGTTTCAAAGAGGCTTCGGTGCTGTTTCTGGCAGATTATTGGGAGAACAACCATTTGGTAACAATAATCCAAAACAAAAAAAATTTCTTAACCGTCAACTATCAATGCTAGTCTTATCAAGTTCATGAAAACTCCATAAAAAAAGTGAAGAAGTTAATTATGAATGTCATCACGAAGAGGCAGATACGAGGATTATTTTTCATGCTCATAAAGCGGAACCAGGGTCAAGGATTTTAATTAAAGCCTCTGATACTGATGTTTTGATTATTTTGTTAGGAAATATGCACAAAATTTCAGAATCAGAAATTTGGCTTTCCACTTCAGCAACAAAAAAGAGTAATAACCAACCTGTTGATTGCATTAATTGTCCCGATCTAGCATTGAAGTTAGGACTTAAATTGTGCCAAAGTCTTCCCGCCTTCCATGCGTTCACAGGTTGCGATTACACGGCTGCATTTCACAATAAAGGAAAGGTAAAACCTTTTAAGCTGCTTTCAAAAAATGAAAAATATCAAACAGTTTTTGCGTCACTAACAGATGAAGCTGATATTTTCATTAACGAAAAAATGAACACCGTTCAAGAATTTACTGCCAATATGTATGGCGTCAAGAACTGCACAAAAGTGAATGAAACGAGATATCGCATTTTTCTGAAGAAATATTCTGCCAAAGAAGACAGCGAGCAGTTTAAAAAAAAATAAAAGGCTTTGACTCCAACTCTATACCACCATGCTGGATATCATTGACTCAGAAAATTTTACGAACTATTTTCGTAAATTCCATGTGGCTTAATGCAACGGATCCAGTATGCGTGAAACTTCAACCTGAAAACTGCGGTTGGTTCTTCGATGAATATTTAAAACCAGTAGGATTCATTGGGGATCATACACCTTTAAGAATAGAAGATATTGTCGAAACATCTGAAACAGAAAGCGATGACGAAGAATGTTCTGACATTGAAGATTACAATTACATGTCTGATGACTCGGATCCTGAATAATTTGAAAATTCAACAACCGCAATCTACTCCAAAATGACGCGTAGCATTTACTAGTCTATCGCTATCCTTTTCGTTTTCACCGACAAATAGCATGCGCGCTCTCTTTCATTCAACCAACAAACTATAGACAGCTGCAATGCTGTGTCCTCTACTATCGCCTGGGATGGTTTGCTTTGCTGGGACCTCGCTGTCGCACGTATTCACTCGCAGCAATATTTCACTTTTTAAAATTCAACAACCGCAATTTAGGACTGATTTTTTGCAGACAACCCTATACCACCGTGTTCGTAATAAAATTATCTTTATTTTTATTTTAGTTTCATTCATTAATCAGACCGGTGCAAGTTACTAGTATCGATTTACCTGTTTATACCTGCCTACCCAAGGGTTGTGACGGGAAATAAATAGTCAACCTAATATTTGTATATTCTATAGGTTTCATATTTTCGATTGGAATGGAATTTGTTCATTAACCAAGCCGGTGTAATTTAAAAAAAAATTTTTTTTTTTAATTGTTAATTAATCATATTCTGGACTGAAATTTTTTAGACAACCCATTCGTAATATATTTATTGACTTATTTTATTTGATAAAGAATATCTTTCATCCATTAACCAGCTCGGTGAAGGTCGTTTTATAGCGGGATCTTAGACTAATAACTTTGTTCTTCTTCTTCTGGTCCCATGACCGTTATCGATCGTTGGATACCATATTCGCTATCGTAACTGTATTGGCAGCAGTTCTAAATGATTATGCAGTCGATTTTCCCTACCATTAAATTGAATTTTTCTGAACGATCAGATGTAAAAGTTCGTACTTTTATAATATTTTAAAAATTTTCTTAGAAACTCTAATAACTCTTTGGATTATTTTGTTTCAAAAATGTTAATATATTTTCTTGGTTGCAGTGGGAATGATCAATGACGTAGTCAACAAAAATTTCGATATGCTTTTAAAGGAACTCTTACCGATTATACAGAGACAACTGGCGGCAGTGTTTAAAGAAGCTGCAAATGCTATAGTTGAGAGATTTACATATGAACAACTGTTTCCTTAGGATCTCAAGCTAAGTTGAATACTTAATATAAACGCCTCTAATCCAAGACAGTTTTTTATTTAAATAAGTTATATTATGTAACTAAGTGAATGTGCATAGTGATAATAACAATAAACGTTATACTTTTAGACCGCAATTACTTTTATTTTAAATATTATACCATAGAAATTAAAGAAATTAATTGAAACAAGTATATAACAATTAAATAAAAAATAAGCTACAAGTATGGAATAATGAGTTCAAAAAAGTAAACTATTGGGTGGATATATGAAGCATAAAGCGATCATACCTAAACAGTCAATTATTTAGCTTTATTTCATGGACATCATCACCCGTCTTACTGTTTTTGTCTCCGCCAAATGTGAAATTTTACAACACTCTATATGTTGCAGAACACGACAAATATTACTCCCCAAATTTAATAAATTTTCAAGACAAATATCAAATATGCAATCAGTAAAATTCAAATAATTCAAAATAAATATCAAATGTACGATTGGCAAAGAAAATAAAAATCAAATTTTTATCCACTGGAAAAATTGTCAAATTCAAATTCCCCTCAAGGTTATATTTTTTTAATTCTGGATCACCTGTACTTATTCCGGATATCTTTCCCTACAATCAAATGTAAAGCTGCGATATTTTCAAGCCCCACGTTTTGGAAGCCAGTTAATGTGATATTAAAAGTCTGAGGTGCGCCAAGCAATTAATTAGCTAATTAATTAATTAATTAAACTTATTTAAACACATTATTTAATTTTCTTATTTTAGGGTTATACTCCTGCTTTAATATATATGCTTTACATATGATAGGTAAGGTCCAAAGAATACCGGAATAATAAAAAACATATATGATACAACATTATATATTGAAATAAAATTCACACTCAAATATCTTCAATAAAAAATATCTCATATAATGATTATCAAAATTTTGTTCTACGTACGTGAACCTTCAAAAAATTAATGGTATATACAATATAAATTAAAATTTCAAATCAAAGTTGTTGTTCTAAATCTCCTGATCAAAATATTCCTATCTTTTCTAAAACAATTGTTAAAAAATGATTTGTTAATAAAGAAAAACTGACGAATGGTAAAACTATGTCTCTGATGATCAGTTGTCAAAATCCTTATTCCTTGTAGCCTACACTATCCATTCTTAGCAGTCCACTAGGTAATCAGCAATCTCACAACATATTATTGCGAGCATATCGTCTTTAATGATCTCCTTCAATTTCGCGTATCATTCAAATGATGCTAGCCTTTTCTCCTCTCGATAAACTGAATCTCTCGTTTTGGCCTGAACAGTGACTCTTGGAATATAAGTAGAAAAATATAACTTACAATATTTTACTGGATCAGCTTCTGTTAGATACACTTACTCCACAAAAACTCAAAAACATTCACTTTTACTGCTTACTATCTCTGGGGAACCACCAGAGAACAACGACTGTTCGCCTTGCACCCTTGGAAAAACAACTGATTATCTTTTCTTCCTCAAAAGTCTCGCTAAACTCTCATTCCTACATACCAATCCCACTTTTTTCAATCTCCTCCAATCACCATTTAGATAATAAACAACAATTTTACCTACAATTATAAATTTCCTAATAACTATTAACATGCTAATCGGTTTCTACAAATTCTTAAGAACTAACGGAGAAATATATTTTCTAAATATTTTTATTCTATTGTCTTATTCACTGTATATTTGGAAAACCAACTCGCATTGTTCACGATTTCACTAAGCTCACTCACGTCACTCGTATATATATATATATTAGAAATAAGTTTAAGAGGGTCCATAACTTTTATGGCTAAGTGTGGAAAAGTTTCGAGTAAATTTGGAAATCAAATAAGGTGCAAAGTGGAAGTGACTTTAACAAAGAATAAAGGGTTTAAATTTTTTTAAATATTCAAAAAAATCTACGAAAAAAAGTTTTCTGACGAACATGTACCATGGCCTTAGAGCATACTGCCAAAACGTCATTACTGTCCAGTTACGTAGGTAGACTTTGAAACAACCTTTTCCATTGCTAAATATATTTTTACTGATAGAAGACAATCATTTTTATTTGAAAACTTCGAAAAATATCTTGTTGTAAATGCCTTTTATATTATTTCCAAACGAGAAATTGTATAATATTAAATTATATAATATTGTAATAATTTTTTGTACCATTTCAAAATAGTAAATAATTGTATCTGACTATGTTTTTTTTACTTACTATGTATATTTTTCCAAATAAAAACCAATTTTTGAACATAATACTTTTTGCACCCTATTTTGTTTTATTACATCATTAAATTTTATTACATATTGGATTGCATATTTTGTAATAAAAGTTAATATTTGTGCATATTTTCATAAAAAAAATGCACATATATGCGCATATTAGTTCAAAAAATAATATATTCCGTGCTCTAATGATGATAATACTCGTTGCTCATGATAATGATAGAAAACCACTAACGCGCCCATCTCTACTGTAAATATCATTCATTTTTGGAATTTGCAGTAAAAAATAAACAAACTATATAAAATATAATTATTATTTATTAATATCGTATAATACCTGACAAAAATCACAATTTTATTGGCAAATATAAATAATTTCATCTCTTTCACATTGCTGACATGTTATTTGGTATAGACTCTCATTGCGCCATCTACACTTGCAAGTCTCTTTAACTTTACTCGTCTTACTAGAGAATCCTCGTCCACAACATAACGTGTCGCAGTTAACTACATCTTCACAGCGCCTCCCAACGGTAGATGGACAAAAGTTCGGACTATTCTCGAGATACAATAAATTTTTCCTGCTTCCTTTCTTTTTAAGTTGGTAGTTATTACTCGATTCAACTTTGATGGCGTTGTGGTAGTGATTTTTTAATTCTTTGACTATAGTATCGAATGGACGGATTTTTTTAAAGCAGGTTTTATATGTGCAAGAGCCTAAAATTGGAATAAAACGAATAAATACTTAGGATGTAACGCATTAGACACTATTGCAATTTTCTGCCTTTTTTAGGGAACTTGTATATATTTCTTGGGCAACCTGAGGTTGTGCAATTTAATCATAGTTGTGGGTCCTATATAAGGCACTATATAAAAAATTTATTGTATAATATAGTTGGCGCAATTTGATCATAATTTTTGGTGTTTAATACATTATAAAGTACTTGTACATGACTGCGAAATTAAGAAGAAAAGAGAAAGAAAAAATGTTCTAAAAAGTTTCTAAAAAGACAATGTACTGGCTCACAAGAGCATTAGGACACTGGCACAAATTATTGAGTTAAGCTTCCAGTTTATTCTTCTGATTTGGCTCCCTTTTACAATGGAAAACTTATGCAACATTTTTTTATCCCATAAATCGGAGAAGGTAACGAAAATAAAAACACAATTAAAGAGAGCACTCATATAATTTAGCTCTTTAGGCCTAGAAGGCTCATGGCTTAATATTTTTTTTTTCATAGAAATAAAAAACAACAATAAAACTTCTTATTCAAACACAACAACATGGACTTATCTTTGGCCGCTCTACTCTAACCAATTTTCTACATTGTGGTAACGTTTTGACGCCATCCATTAACAGTTCGGAGCCGGTTGACATTGTTTATCTGGATTGCTCTAAAGCCTTTGGCCGTCTACCTAAACCAGACTTCTACATAAGCTAGACCATTTCGGGGTTCGCGGTACTCTACTTCGTTGGATAGATGAATTCCTGACATATCCACATTACAAAGTTAGAGTTTGCGAATTTTTTCACAAGGCAGGTTAGTGAAAAGTGGAGTGTCTCAGGCTTCTGTCCCCGAAACTATGCTTTTTACGGTTTATACCAGCGATGTTCCTTATTATGTTTCAAGTAAAATATCGTTCTATGCCGATGACACAAAAATATATGCCAATCCAATTACAAACCAGCTAACCCTCCAAATGAACTTGGACTCTATTTTAACTTAGTGTTTCCAATGGCTACTACCCTGAAATGCGGAAAAATGTGTAGTGCTCCGAATTGGTAAAAATAACTTGTGCCGTGCTTTCTTAACGAGAAACCATTAGATTCTTTGTTCTTCTTTAACGACCTTGGGGTTCTAATAAACAGCAGCCTAATTTGGTCCGACCATATTACTAATATTTGTAAACGTGCTAGCTCCAGACGTGCAAGATTTGTAAACGTTATTCTGAGCTGTATTTCTAGAGTTTCAATGCAGTCATTCTATAAACTTTATACTTTTTATGTAAGACCCATTTTTGAATACGTTGGGCCAACCTGGTATCCTGATTTGGTTCGCAACAAAACTTTATTGAAAACAGTTCAAAGAAAAGCCACTCGTATTTGGGAACGAGAAGACCTTTTTATACAGAAAAACTTAGTAAAAACCTAACTTCTTTTGAACTTCGCCGACAACATGAAGACTTAATTACCACATTCAAAATATTAAAACTTAATTTTGGAAATTTCTATAAAATGTTAACCATAAATCAAGATGAACGCCTCAGAGGTCACAAGTTTAAACTTAAAAAAGAGAACTTTTCTGCAAGATCAAGACAGAACTTTCTACCAAATAGAGTTTTTGAGTCCGGAAATAACCTTAATGACAACCCCCTCTGTGGCTCAGTGGTAAGAGCGCCTGCCTTTAAATCTAAAGGTCGTGAGTTCGAATCCCACCTGGGTGGAAATTTTCGTTTATTAAAAAAAAAATTAATAAATGAAAATAATTTCTATCCTTGTGTGATCGGTACACACCGGAGGGACCGCAGACGTTCGGATACAATTAGCGTCTCTTAGCAAAGACAATGACGTCGACTTTGCTAAGTATCAAGACAATTACTCTACACACACACACACACACACACACACACACACACACACACACACTACACCTCAAATTGTAAGATTGGCGAATGGATTTAGTGTCCGCAGTCATTTAAACACAAACAACAACAAACCTTAATGATAACATTAAGTGCGCTTTATGTATTGGCGCCTCTACCAACGCACAATATTTAAAATATTGATTTTCTTTTAAACCAAAAATTGTAAGTTTAAATAATTGTATTTTTTTTTGTAGTTTTGTACTTTATTAGTAGGTACCAATGTAATTTCTTATTTGTTTTTGGATAAAATAGGAACTTGTCCTTCTGCCCTTGTTTACGTATAATAATAGGAGACATGCTGAGAGGTAGTATAATATTCTACACCTTATACTACAGGGCAAAATACTGACAGAAGAGGCTCAGGCCGAAGAAGAACATCCTGGCTTCAAAATCTCTAAAGTGGTATCCAGAGACATCCACTAATCTGTTTTGAGTTGCCGTAAACAAAGTTATTATTGCCAATATGATCGCTAACATTCGATAATCGGACAAGTACTAAAAGAAGAAGATTGACCTTGTATATACTCTTGTTTTACCCATTCTATATAATTGGGCTTTTCTTCAATTATGTATATCCCTTTCTTTTTCGCTTTAGCTTCTAGTCTTTTTAGTATTTCTTTTACTTATTACTTTCTTATGGCTATCAGTACTATGTCATGATCGAATGCTACACATTGTTATTTTCGTTGATAGATAAGTCCTGTCCCGTTGATTTTGGCTTCATTGACGAGAATCTCAAGAAGAAAACTAAACAGTGATGGCAATACGTCCTCTTAACGCACCTCCTGACTGACTTTAAACTTATCCGTTTCTGTTCTATTTACTTTAACCCTACTCTCTGTTTATCTGAGTGTCATTTTTATCATTTTTACTATTTTTTTATTAATTCTCTTTTTACCTAGTTTCTTGTATAGTTCTTTCCTTGTTTAAAGTCAATGAATAAGGCCACTGTAGATTTCCCATATTCGTAGCTTTTCGTTGTATTTTACCCAGCAGGAAAATTTGATCTATTGCGCTGTGTTCTCTTCTGAATCCGCATATTCCAAATGCTTAATTAGTAATAGTCCTCGATAATTGAACATTTCAGCTATTCATCCCTTCCTGGGCTCTTATTTTTCTTTATTTTCGTTTAGTTCAGTTTCTCTGTTATTTCTTTTTTATTAGGTGGTCTTCCCTCTGTTCGTTCTTGATCGATAGTTTGCTTCAGTTCTTCTTCTTTTTTATGTTCGGTTGTGGGTATTTCATTTAAAAGCTCTTCCAAGTATTCTTTTAATCTGTTCAGTACTTTCTTTTCACTTACTAAATACTTTCCATTTTGCTTTTGTAGTGTACAGATTTTGTTTGGTAAATATTTTTATTATTTTTTACCCCTTGATATTAGTTTAAAATTTCTTTATTCTTAAGCTTTCTTCCATTTATTTCAATTCATATTCATTGTATTTTCGCTTCTTTGATCTTATGATTCTTTTGGCTCGGTTCCTTTGTTCGTTATATTTTCTTTCTATCTCTGGTGTTTTTCTTGCATAATTTTAAATCTTAATTTATTTCTTTCATGCTTTATATTTCTATATCTGGCTCGCTTTGCTTTGGTCATACATACTTTTATTTGCAACAATTTGTTCAATATTCCTATTTTTTCAGATATTATCTAATTCTCTGGTGACTAGCAACCAAAGATATTAGACTAAAATATACATAATTAGGCAAATAAACATGCAAAAGACAATGAAAATTAAATGCTTTTGAAAGACAAATTGTAAATAGTATCTTTGGGTCTATCAACGAGAATCTCTCTCTCTTCAATCCTGACCCCCCAGGGGGAGTATAGTGGTCGACGTGATGTCGTGTATTGTCCGTCTCCAGAGATCTCTGTCTCTGGTCATTTCTTTTAATTCATGCATAGGTCTTTGGCATATTCCTGTAATTTGATCTATCCATCTTGTTGGGGATCTTCCTCGTGATCTTCGGCCTTCTACCTTTCCTTGTATTATGAGTCTTTCCATGTTTTCTGTGTTTGCTCTCATAACATGCCCAAAATATTTTAATTGTTGGAGATGGACTTTACTAGAGAGTCGTTGGCTAACTTTTAGCTCTCTTAAAATTGAATTATTTGTTCTACGGTCGGTCCAAGGAATTCGTAACATTCGTCTCCAACAGAACATTTCAGTGGCGTCTATCTTTCTTCTCTCCGATTGTCTCAGAGTCCAAGATTCACATCCGTAGGTCAGTATTGGGAATATTAAGCAGTTGATCAACCTCATCTTTATCGCTCTTGAAATTTGACATTCCTTCCATATTTTGGTCATTTTTGCTGTGGCAACTTTTGCTAGATCACATCTACGTTTAATCTCTTCTTGTAATGACCCTGTGTTTGTAAGTAATGATCCCAGATATAAGTATGAGCTCACAACCTCGAACCGGTCAATTGTGGTTATGTGTGGATGATTGTTGTGTAGTCTATCCACTATCATGATCTTTGTTTTTGATATGTTTAATTGCAAACCAAATATTTGACTTTCGTTTTCGATCAGTCGTATAAGTTCCATCAGCTCTGCTTGACTATTTGTAAGAAGGGCTGTGTCATCTGCGAAACGTAGGTTGTTTAGTTTATGACCATTTATTGAGATGCCCTTTTCCCATCCTTTAAGTGCTCTTCGCATAATATACTCTCCATATATGTTGAATAATTGTGGAGATAGTATACATCCTTGTCTGACACCCCGTTCTGGATGAAACTCGTTCGAAAGTGTGTCAAGTACTTTAACTGATCCAGTAATGTATTCATATAGTTCAATTATAAGCGTAATTAGATGTTGTGGTACGCCTACTTCTTTTAGTATTCGCCATAAGTGTCTTCACCTGCCTGTCGAACGCTTTACGGTAATCTATAAAACAGATATATAGTGGGATGTTGAATTCCCTAGATTTCTCGATTATCTGTCTTTTATTCAGCAGGTGTTCTCGAGTGCGTCTACCTTTGGTAAATCCTGTTTGCTCTTGTGGAATTTCTCTTTGAAGGAATGTTTTCAGTCTCTCATTGATTATATGTAGCATTATCTTGCTGGCATGGGATATAAGAGAGATAGTACTATAATTGTCGCATTTATGGAAGCTGCCTTTTTTATGTATGGTCGTTATTGCAAATTTTGTCCAGTCTTCAGGACATTGTTTTAAATGCCATATTTGGTTACAAAGTAGATGAAGTAACTTTACGCCGGTTTCTTCTGTGGCTTTAAGTATTTCTGCTGTTATCATATCTGGAACTTGTGCTTTGTTATATTTGAGCTTGTTGATAGCCTGTCTTACTTCATTTTCGAGTATATCAGGTTCTTCTTCCACCTCGTCAGAGATTTGGCGAACAAGCTCATGGCATTAATCATCTTTATATAGGTCCCTGCAATACGATCTCCATGTCTCTGCTATGTCTTTTCTGTTTGTTCTTAGGGTTCCAGTGTTATCTTCAATGGCCCAAGTTCTGGCTCTGAAGTCTCTTGTCAGGTAGCGTATTTTTCTAAATAGATCTCTCGGCTGATTATTCTGACCATATCTCTCAATTTCTTTGCATATACTTTGATAGTACTATTTTTTGTTGGCCTTACATCTTCGTTTTATTTCTTTATTGAGGTTTCTTAAACTAGCTTTTTCTCTTTCACTATGTACACCACTTTTACAAAGATTTTTAATTTTTCAACGAGAATATGAAGATCCAAATATAACCATAAACTTTGCTAACCATTCAAAGGAACACCCGTTTTAGCGGTGAAAATTTTAATAAATATAATTGACTTCAAAACTTAAAGGTGAGTAGTGCGTAACCGCCAAAGTTCGAGCTGAAGTTACAAGAGACTAAGGTCCATTTTGCATTGGAGCGTCAGTGGAAGAAAAAGAATTTTCAAATAACAATCTTTATACTTTTTAATAGATCTATAATAAAAACACAGTAATGTTTCTTAAAAGTTTTAAATATGTATATAATGAATTACCTGATAATCCGTGACACTTGCAAACTTTTTCTTCATTTCTAATCACAACCCTTATTCCAATTTCACTATTATGTCTAAAAAGGCTCTGATTAACATCACCTATAAAACATATATAATCATATATAAAAATGTATAATAACTAAAAAATACATTAAGTACATACTCAATAATTTAATATTTAAAAAATATTTAAAATGCCCGATCTACGATAATTTACAATCCTGACAAGAGACTCTATAGATTACATTGGTTTTATCTTGCTTAGATAAAGGAGTCTTATTATTATAGAATAATTTTCCTATGGACCTGATATTCTTTATCCCTATGTTGACAGGCACAATCCGTAGAAGACTTAACATAATATAAGAAAAGGAAGGGAAAATAGGAGAAGAGTAATAAATGTTAGATGTATTGGGAGAACTCTGAAAAATAGACCCAGATGAAACAGTAGAATGAAGTGATAAAGCATCTGATTCTCCATCAGAGGCACCTTTAAAAATAGACAGAGTCATGTCTACATAAAAAAAGAAGAAGAAATACAAGAAAACGAGAAAGAAATCGATTTACAAAATAGAACAAACTAAGACTCGGTAAAGTAAAGATGTTCGTTATTCTCCGTTAATGTTTCTTAATGTTTATAGATTGAAAGCACTTGTTTTAAATTTTACTGTTTGCCTATTGTTAATTAAAAATTATTTATAGCAATCATAAAAGTCATTATTACTTCTTACCTTTTCTCCTAAGTTGAAAAAATCTATATGTTAGATTTTTCGCGAATTTGGTATTATCTCCACAACCTCCCCATTGCCAATTAGAAGAATTATCAGACTTTCCATGACTAGCACATTTACAGTTTTCTAATTTTCCGGCAGCACAAGCCTTCGCTACCAGATACATAAAAGCTGACGCGGACAAAGAGTGCATAAAAGATGTTTCTCGATATATTTTTCGAAAATATTTTCTATGACGTAAACATGGCCACTGTTCATATCTAAAACAAAAAGTATTATCAATTTAGGTAGAATCCACAGACTAAGAAACCTAGCGTTCATCTTCCATTATTAACTAAAATTCTAGCACATACACTATTAGATAATTATCATTTAAGGGAACTAGCTGCATTTGGAAAAGGATTTAGTACAAGCGTCGACTAGAACAACAACTATAATCACAGACTTGAATATGTTAACCTAAATATTTTGGAAAAGAAATGACATTAGAATCTAAATAGAAAAATGGATCAGACAATACAAATGCTCTAAATGATACAAACGATATATCGTACCTTCAGAGCTATAGAGCATTAACTGCAAATAATATCTTTCTGAGATAATGGGAATTTAAAAATATTTTAACACTAAAAAATTTTTTACTTTTAAGATATTAAATGTTAAACCAAAATTTTTGGAAATAAAAATAATCAACTTTAAGGGGCTTTAATCCCAAACAATACGTATTAAAAAATGTTTGATTTTTGGTAGATTTTCCAAATAATTCCTTATAGCTCTGAACTGAAATAATAAAATTGCATATAATCAAATCAATGGTAACTTTATTACAGACAAAAAAACAGTATGTAATAAAAATTACAAGCTTCACAGAAAATGAAAACGTATCATCAGACAATACAATAATATATTATACATACTTATATCGCAAGTATCATTAATATTATGGTAAATCATTTCCAACTACTAAATTATTAAAAAAATCATGGTATTGGGGTTTAATTGCATTTGTTTCGCATAAAGATAAGAGATCTCTCTTTTTAACTGCAGTGATACCTGGTGCAGTATCATATGCTGTCTTTAGTTCTAAGTTTTCTAGTCCAGTAAACTGAACCCTTAATCGGCGACGCAGGTTTATTCTTTTGAAGGGTCCTTCAAAACTAGTCTTCACTTTGAAGGAAAATGGCCTATTCTTTTCTACCTCCAAAACTTTAATATCATTCCATGTGATTTTGTTTCCGTCTTCATCAATGTTGAAATTATTGCCAATCATTGAACATAAGTGTTTAAGGTCATAAAAACCATCAGTGCACATTTCATTTATTTTGAATGGTGGTCCATTTTTCTTAGCTGACTGGATAACGGTCACCCATTGGGCTGGTACATAAATAGGACCTCCTTTAGGAACTCGTTTTCGTTGTTTTTCAATGAGGGAATGCATGTTATCTCCCTCGTTCTGGGAATGTCCAGTAATCAGAAATTTATGTGTTATTTTAGGTATATTAAATGTATGCACTGCGTATACGTATAAGGCGAGTATAAACTTATTTTTGTTCTGTCCGGAATAATTATCTGAATAGAACACCACGTTGGTGCCGTTTCCTATGTCCTGCAGATATTGAAAAAGGCATGTTCCAATTTCATTGGGACCATGATGAACAATGCCCTCATACCAAATAAAACAATGTCCCAGTCCTTTTCCGATATCGAAAATGGTGAAATTGAATGTAGAAAGTCGTCGCTATAATAAAAGCTTGATATTTCACCACACGGAGTTGGCAACACAGCTTGTAAATCGAAGCATGCTGTTATGCATTCTTCAGATTTTGCTAATGCGGCATCTTTGGTCTTTTCCTTTCTACTTAATTTAACTTCGTGACGATGTTTCTCAAATTCAGATCTGAGAACTTCTTTGTCGCTTGCATTGTTGTATGACTCACAAAGTGAACACTGATCCCTTTTCGGTGTGAAGAATCCTATATTAAACTCTGTATTAAATATATCTCTAAAGATATGGTAATTTCCATACTCACGTTCTTGTGCGATTGATTAAGAAACATAGTCTCTGTGAAGGTCTGCTAACGTTTTTTCGCCACTTATAAATATTCTGCTTGTCTGATTTCTTAAGTAATGCGATTCAACGTTTGGAATTTCAGTGAAATAAAATCGGATCCTTTGCTTGATTTCGTACCCTACTTGCTTATGATTTTGGTGAAAGCCTCTTTGGTTTTTCTGTATGAAATTATCCTGTGTTTTTAACTGAATGTTTCTGATAAATTTATCACTTATGCTGAGAGTTGACATAAAAAATGTTTTGCATACTCTGTACTTGTTATCTTCAATCTCAAACTCATATTCATAGTTTGGTGCTCTTGGACGATTTCCTACATTCACTCTACGGTATTAAATGTTAGTTTTTTTCATGCATTTTAAAACAAAATTTTTTTGCAGCATGAGGTCTCCAAAGCTCCAATATTTTGTAAAAAGCTGGATTCTCTGTTCATCTGTTATTTTATTGCATTTAAATTTACATTTATTTTCATTGCACCTATTTGTTATACCTCTAGCAGGAACTTGAACATTTTTGGCATTAGTATAAGGCTGTCCTAAATTTCTGTGTGTCTTCCTCAAATTTTTCTTCCATTTTTCTGGCTGGCGCTTCCTTTTCCTTTTATTTTTTCCTCCTCTTCATCCATTGCATTGACTGACATATTATTTTCTGCATTTAAATCTTCATTCACTACGCTTGCTCCAACTTGTAAGTTTTTATCAACATTTTTTTCGATGATGGCATCTTCTTCGGTAATATTTTCACCGCTTGATTCATGTGGCAGTACCGGCCACCATGTTGGATCATCAATGCTGTCATCGCTGAATGCTGATAATAGTGAAGATTCATCCTGTAAAATAAAATAATTGTAAAAAGCGAATATTACTGTGGTTAGTACTGGAAACATAGGTACTAAGAATGATGATGAATGACTTAGGTATTTACAATTGTTTGATGATCACAGCCAGTTCGATGGTCTTGATCTAGGTTCACACGACTACAGCCAGCAAAACTACTGGTGATCTGAAATAAAACAAAAAGTTTAATATCCCGTAACTACAAATAAAATTAATTGTAAACATCATTATCATGGCACTAGTTTTATTAATTTAATTTTAATTAGATATTATTCCCATTTAGTAGCACAGGCTTCTCGCAATCATTGGGGCAGATGATCGATTATGAAATTATGCTTCTACAACAATAATCAACTGGAGTAAAAAAACTAATATAGAGAGGCCATCAATCCAGTTATTTAAGTAGGAACAAATATTGAATTCTAATAAAAAATAATGCGCTACGAACATACCTCAGAGGCTATTTTTGCTTGGAAAAGCTCTTCTCCATGACTTTCAGCTTTGTCAGTTAACATTTTTGATGGATTTCCATTCTTTCACGTATCTCTCTCTGAGATTATTTCTGTAGGACTATCTTCTCGGCCAGCTCTTTCAACCTCTGAAATTTCTGTTTGAATTTCATTTTCTCTTGAGAATAAAGTCCCTTTTTCTAGCAAGGGTGGTAACTGAATTAAAATTTAAACTAATTAATTATCAATTTAAACTACCTATATAACTGTGCATTCATTGAAACTTGACACACTTAATTATTTAAATTCGTGTTGCTAAATACTCAAATAATAAATAAATAAATAAAAAACACTCAGTATTAGTCGTTCCTAGGAAGGCCACCCATCATAGGAACAGTAAGTAATTATAGGTTATAATATTGGTAATAATAATCATACTTACACGTTCAGTACACTTATTTCGGAGATGTTCTAAAAATTGCAGTCTTCTAGCACACATTTTTCATCAATATCGAACTTTTGCTACAGATTACTCAAAAATAAAAGCTACACAGAAATCAAGATGTAAATGAATAACGAAGGCACAAGAACAGATTAGTAAGCAAGCAATTTGATTGAACCCAGCCTATGAGACATGTTCACCCAGGTAGTACGATCGGGTGTAACAATTCATTGGAGCAAGGTGTTTTAATTCGTGTTTAAAAACAGGAATCACCCCACCGTGCTCCAATGCTCTAGACCATCCCTTTCCCCCCTATAGCAATCTGATTCGCTATAGAGGCACAACAATCAGCCAAGTGCTCTTCATGTGGAGGTCCTGGGTAATTGAACCCCAACATGGTTTCCTAACCGTATGTGAAAACTCAGGACAGCGCATCTCCGCTTTATTCCTGTTTATCTTAATGTAGCTTATCCGCGAAGAACAGATTAGTCGGTACTAACGTACTTTACTTAAAGCAAACCCTCTTATCTATGACTTAAAGGCAAAACACGCCTTTATTGGCAGCTCTTGATTGATGCATGTGTAACAGTGTTGCCAACTTTACAAACTGTAGGGAATTATGTGCAAATAATGCCTTATAGTTTTGACTACGTAAAAATAGTTTAAGTAAAATAAAGAATTATTTGCAAATAATCCTTTACAGTTCCCAATTATTTTTTTTAATTAACCAATGACATACAGCATTTAGGGGTATAGAATGCAAGTATTAACTAATGCCTTATAGCCCCAAAAAGAGAATTATTTTTTAATAATTCCTCATAGTCAACTCAGTTTAGGATTTTTTAGCAGTTAATGCCCTATAGTTCTCAAGGTGCGATATATACGTTCACAAAGAGGTAATCGCAATTTTGATAATAATAAGAACCAAAAGGTTTTATCCACTAAAAACATCTCGAAAGAGATAGCTACTCCTTCCACGACTGGACTCAACCAAATGATACACGTATTGCCTTATTACTCGTAATAAGTAAACAACAGCATATAAAACCGTCTATATATGTAAATAATACCAATTAAATTGTAACGCAAAAAGTCACAGCGAAAGTAGATATGGAGGTTTTAAATACAATTGAACTCAGAAAAATGCAATATCTGGGACAGGTCATGAGAGTTGAGCGTTATAACTTGTTGCAATTAATAACGCAAGAAAGAATACAGGGTAGAAGGAATCGCGGAAGAAGACACATATCCTAGTTAAACAATTTGAGAGCTTGGTTTAACTGCACTTTTGCTGACCTCTTTAGAGCAGCGGTATCGAAATTGCGAATTGCCATAATGATTACCAACCTTCTTAGTTCTAAAAGAGAAGATAGCACATGAAGAAGAAGATAACTTTTGGTCCCAGAAAATAAATTTTGTTTTGGGCAACTTTAACAGCCATTATATCTGATGAAGATATAACAATATATATTTCTACGGCAAACTAGTCGAGAAGTGGGCAGAACAACGTTGCCCTGCGAAAACTACTTTCTTTGAGGTTATCCAAGGTTATCCAAGGTTGGAATACTACAAAGTACCTTTGGAGAACATGGATCTAAAAACGCGTACCTAACAACGAAGACTCATTATATTGTCCACAAAGTGATAAAAATATATCACTATCTGTGTAATTTTAATAAAATTAATTTTGACTAGAATGACTTTTGATTTAACTAGACTCATTTCAAATTACTTGGAGGCAGCGAAATTTGTATCAAATTAACCAAAGTTACATTATTAGTATCACAATCGCCAATGTTCATTTTTCTTTTTAACTTTTCTCAGTAGATACTTGACACACTATAAAAAAAGTGTGTGCGACAAAATCCTAATTACATATTTACAACAAATGATATAAATTGGGCAAATCGTAACCAAAATAAAGTTACCAGAGAATTTCGCGGTTTTTGTAAAATTGGTCAAGGTGGAGATTACCGACTTTGGATAAAGGTGACTCAAAACCAGCAGCAACATTATATAAGTAGATAACAGTATAAAACAAGGAACTTATAGATGAAAGGCTTTATCTAGACCTTATCTTAATTTATTTTTAACAAATACCCCCTCTGTGGCTCAGTGGTAAGAGCGCCTACTTTTAAGCCTAAAGGTCGTGAGTTCGAATCTCATCTGGGTGGAAAAATTTTCGTTTATTAAAAAAAATTAATGAATGAAAATAATTTCTATCCTTGTGCGATCGGTACTCACCGGAGGGACCGCAGACGTTCGGATACAATTAGCATCTCTTAGCAAAGACAATGACGTCGACTTTGCTAAGTATCAAGACAATTACTCTACACACACACACTACACTAGGTACCTGACTGTACCATGCCAATGATCTTAGTTGTCGAGACATTAACTCAATAATAAAATATTTTTAACAAATACAGAAAAATACTTAAAAATATTTAAAGTTTTATATGTATAATATAAAATATTAAAATGTTTCTTACTTAAAATGATTTATGCAAGAAAGCACAGTCAACTTTCTATAGTCTCTAATAATTTCAGGCAATCCTGTCCTTTTCAGACACAGCAGCTTCTGATGCTTAAAGCTTCTTAGCCACCTACAAAGTTCTCTTTTGTTCGCTGTAGCACTGTATCTAGTGCTGTTTTTTGTATATACAGCTGCTATAAAAGAGTTTCTCCTGCTAGTCTTTGGTATCTTTCTATAACAGAATCAAAATACACTGTTTACTACATTAATTCTAACGGAATAATTTTAAACAGGATTAATTATTAGAATTAGATTATTAGAGTATATGAAAATTAACATGAATGAATATTAGGTTACACATGGATTTGTGTAACCGTCCTGTTTGCACAAAAATGAATGTTTATAATAGAATAATATTTTTTCAGTTTTTTTAAGTTTGCACAGTGGAATATTCTTTTCAATTCCGACTTGTGGTGGTTTACACAATAGCATGATACAAAGAAAAAAGACAAAAGCTTGACAAGTTATAGACACTTTTTTGTTCAATTCATTTTGTTTCATAATATTATGTTTGATTTATAATTAAGATTTTAATTTCACTTAGTTTGTAAGAGATTACATATATTGATTTTTACACTGTATGTTAACATATATATTTTTTGTAACAGGGGTAATTCCGTATATTAATAAATAAATAAATATGTTTAATTTATTAAGTCGGTTAAAAAACGTAAGTAAATGTTATAACAAAATGACGCAAACTGATTTTAATGACTTGACTCCTTGACATGCCTAAAATCAAATGAGAAATGTCCTGTTGAGGAATAAATTCCCACTCCTCTAAAAGGGCTTTTTGTAACTGATTTAAGGTTAAAGGGACAGAAACATGACTTCGTATCCTTCGCCTAAGCATTTTCCAAATATGTATGTTCGATTGGGTTTGCTGAAGCCGCACAACTAGATGGCGCCTGAGAAGTTGTAGGCCTGTTGCAGGTCTGCGACTGCTTAAAGTTGTCTTTTCGGGCCTTCGTCTAATTCTTCGTTTACTTACGTCAGTATTCCGGACGTACTGAAGTTGATTTCGGTTTTGTACAGCCGTGGCATGACGATCTCGTAGACCTTGTAAGAGGATGAAGCGATCATCACGGGCACAGTTCTTCTTTGGGGACCGGTTCCATGGTCGTTTAATGTAAGCTCCGATTGCCAAGAAACGTGTAAAAATACGGTGTACAGTACTATATGTCATAGTTTATTTGAGCTACATATCGCTCACTTCTTTCGTCTTGAAGCAACGCAACAATAGCAGCTGATGTTTCGTTATTTACAACCATAATTCTTGAGGTTAAATCAACCCAATTTAACTTCAATTTGTGTTTGATACTTAATTCGACTTGACAGTTTACTCACATCAACAAGAATAAAAGAATAACAATAGAATGCCAACCTACCTTTGCACTTTTAACAGTGGTAAGAATAGTGTATTATTTATTTCAGATTTTTTTTTACATTTTTCTTTCAGACAAGCACTTAAATTTTATTAGAAAATACCTAAAACAGTTTGTTTCGTTTGTGTTTCCGTTATTATAATAATAAAAGTTTAAAGAAAATTAAAATTTTTAGTTTTTATTTTAAAGTTGCTAGTGCTCCATTTTTAGTGCCGGTGAGTGTATATGTCAATCGAGGAAATAAAATTTTGAGTCCCTGTAGGGTGTCGTTTAATTCTAAAAAGTATTATTGAAGAGATGATTAGCCGTGTTTAAAAGAGAAGAAATGATAAGCGGATAGGCCGAATTTGAATAAGAAACTGGATTACTACAATATCCTGGAAACTCCATTTTTTACCTCGTGAACTGCTCATTTCAAGTAATTATTGTTAAATTCTTAACCACAAATTTAAAAATATTATCTATATATTTTATTAATAATTATAAAAACATAAATATTTAAAATAACCACAAGATACAAAGGTTAACACGTACAAATTCAATTTAAAACGCCGATAAAATGGTTACTGGGGCATGAAAAGTTAAGAAATTCTAACTTTACTGACACCATTAACTGTTTATACATGCCATTTTATTTTACTAGCGCGCCAAAAACTACTGACGCCAGCAAATTTAAAGAAACACAAGCCAGTTCCCTGATGGAATACATAATATAAGGCCCCTATTAAATTAAGTAAAACAGTGTAAAGGTGAAGCAAGGAGGATCATAAAAAACAAACAAGAATCAGGAAAATATACACGCAGCATCCATTAGCTTTACTTATAGGAAGAACAAAATAAATTTCATCCTGTAGACACAAACGTTTCTCTGGGTTTCATCACATGTTGGAATACTAGGTAATGTAGCAGCAGACAGAAATGCCAAAGAAGCTATAAACGGAAACACTATCACCATATCACCCCAATCTGTAAGTATGGATCTACAAAGCTACTTCTTAAATCACCTGTTCGAAAACTGGAACAATACATGGAAATCCACACCATCAAAGCTTCAGGAGATAAAAAATATAAGATTGGACCATGGCAACCGAGGTATCCAGACTCAAGTAAATAATTATTTCTAGTTACGATTTAAAAATGAGTGAAAAAGTGCGAAAAGTTCAATCCTACATTTGTTTTTAAAAGACTTTAATTTACTAAGCAAAGTGAAAATAACTGTTGCCGTTACCTAACAACCTTATTAGTAGTCTTCGGTAAATATGCAAATAAAAATGTAGAAAATATGCGCATAAATATGCACGTGTTTACCCGAAAATATGCAAATATTTTACAAAATATGCATACAAATAAATAAAAAAATCGTAAAATAGTAACAATTTTATTAAAAAAAAAGTGTACATAACTAAATATTTCCTACTATTCATTAAGATTTACATTTATTTTAAGTAACTACATCATTTGTAAGTATGAATAAACTTATTTAGAATTATGGTAACAATAAATGATCAAGTGGTGTTCAAAATTTTCTAACAAAAACTTGTGGCTTCTGTCTGAGTACATATATTTATATATGGAAAAACTTCGTTCAACATCAACTGATGTAACGGGAGCATTTTTCAAACTAACCAAAACATTTGGTTCTAAACTAATTGTTTCCGAAATATTTCCAGCTAGAACACTGACTACTTCAGAAAGAATATGGTAACATTTATTTTTTTCCATAGTAGCTTCAAATTTTTTTAAAATATCTTTTCCAATATTACCTCTAACGTTCCGACAACATGACGCAAATTCTTTTATTAATGCTGTACTTTCGAACAATGACAGTTTTGGTAATTCTAACTGAGTAATTGTTTTTTGAACAAAACTAAAATTTGATTTTATAAATGAAAGTTCTTGTTGAAGCAAGTTACTCTGAAAAGTTTGTTTAGAATCCAAAAGAGATTGGGAACTTTCATCTGTTAACGTATCAATTATGTTCTTTATTTTAACAAAATGATTTGCATAAAAATTAGCTGCTTCTAACCATGTTCCCCATCGCGTTAAAATAGGTTGTGGTGGAAGAGGAATGTTAGGTAGCATTTCTTTATAAAGTTGAATTCTTATAGGAGATTTAAGAAATACTTTTTTGACACTGCATATCATGGTATTTACAAGAGGAAACCTTTTTCGTATTTCCTCTGCAACTCTGTTTAATCCATGCGCTACACAAGTAACATGTATTAAATGCGGGAAAAATATTTTTAAATTTTGTCCTGCTTTCACCATAATAAGGAGCAGCATCCGATAAAATAAGCAGTAATTTATTAGAAGGAATAGTTGTCGGAAGAAAAAAAGTTGCTAATGTTTCTTGTATAAAACGCGAAATTGTTAAAGCATTTGTTTTCTCAAGTTGCTGGCATGAAATAAGATAAAATTTTGGAAAGGTATCTTCTTTAAGAACACCAATCAATAAATGAGCAATATACTTTCCTGAGGAATCAGTGGTTTCATCTACAGATATGTAAAAATAATTATCTGCAATTTCCTCCTTAATATTAATTAACACCGACGAGTATAGCCCGTTCACATTATTTCTTCTTAGAGACCGATCACTTGGAACATTCAGTTTGCAATATATTTTTAGAAACGAACTAAAATTTACATTTGCTAATTTTGAAAGCGGTATGTTTGCAGACACTAATGCGCGACACAAGTCTTCATTAAAAGTTTTTTGCTCATCTAATTTTTTTGAGGTAGATTGGAAACATTTATCCATTGAAGTTTGATGTTTTCCTCCTATTTTTCCTTTTTTTGCAATGTGTGAAGCAGTTCTCATGTTGATCTATCTGAAATTTCTTCTCACATGCTATCTATAAATAAAAATAAAAACCTTTATTTTAACCCAACCTTTAAAATATAAAAATATACAAGGTGTTTTTGGTTAATCAAATAACTGGTTTGGAAAAACAAACACTCGCTAAGTGTTTTAAATGCAGTATTAATCCACAAATTAGTTTTTGTTACTAACCATTAGTACATCATATAACTTATTTTAAAATTCAACAAAAGTTTTTTTTTGTTAATTCAATTACAATAAAAATAATTGTGTTTTAGAATAGCTGACTTCATAAAAAAAAGTAAAAGTGAAAAATTTTTCTAAATACACACCATTGTATTGTACCATGGACAATTTTTTCTCACTAAAGGAAGCTATTTTTCATTTAAAAACAACCTACGAGTACTAAATTTCAAGTAAATACGTTTATTGGTTTTAAAGTTATTGTTGTTATTAACTAAAAGAATTTAATTTTTTTTTTAATTTTAACACCCTGTATCTCGAATAGTAAATAAGTTTGGCCCCTCATTAAATATATCCTTTTGTTCAATTTTTCGAGAAGTATCTACAATCAAACGTTGTAAGTGTCATTTGGAAACACCCTGTATGTATGAAATATTAGATATTTAATAGAAAATATTAGATACTTACAATTTTGCCACAGACTGAACAGTAGATTTTTCCCATATCCATAGACAGCTCTTTATAAGGTTTAATCCAAGTTGAAGCACTGGTTGTTTTAGGCATTATAAAATCACAATCTTCCTTTTTGTTACGCACAACGAGTGTTTACGCTTTGAATATCAAAACAAAAATGATTTACAAATCTGAGCATCAAATTAGAAATGTTTAGGTACCTAATTCAATAAACTGGGAGATTTTGGAAAATCCCTAAATTAGGAACAAAACTATTAGCCGTTTACCTGCTGATTTGGGGATTAGATCATAAAATGCAAATGAGCGAACCCT